CAAAGTTTCAGCTGGTTGTTATGTATGTGCCAAGTTTCAGCCTCTTGCTGACTCTTCTTCTTACTCGCCAATTGTTACTTCCCCTTGAAAATGGGGGTTTTTTATGTTGATAAAACTGCCATTGTCTGGAGCTGAACATTATCCAGAGGCTTCTGCCTACTTTTCAGATCCAACAGTGTGCAATCATTTTTTCCTGTGAAATTTCTTTTAAACTTATAATACAAAATTATAGTTAATCTTCTAATTAGGCAAAGAGGTTTGTTAGAATCTAATTTTTCAAAAGCATTTGAGGAGTTTTTATAATCTGTACATCTCTTTGTGCAGGCATAAGAAACTGTACTATACCTAACAGTCTCTCTAAAGCAGTGATTCGCAGTCAGGGTGCCACAGTACCCTAGAGTGCCTTAAGATCCTTTCAGTGGCACTGCAGGCTGCTATGCAATGTTTGCACATCTAAGTGTTAACATGATTCACAAGATAAGCCTAGGGATTTAATAGGAATCCATAATGTTAAAATTTTTTTGACCTGTTGTGGTCTTTCTGAGTTTGCAACAGAAAAGTTTGTTCTATTATCTTTTCATAGGAAAAAAAATGTGAAAACTAAGAGCTGGCATTTTCTGAGGGATTCCTTGAATGTAAAGAGGTTGGGATTTACTGCTTTAAAGTATTAGGGAATGTTGCAACATGGCAAAAATATCTTCTTTCTGGAAAATGCTCTGAAAACTATATGCCAGCACAAGGCAATCAATATATTTGCATAGTTTGGGAAGAGGCTGTCAATATTCATCGAATGTAGTCAGAAATCATTTTTTGCATTGAGTGCTTTTAGCAAGTGTAATCGAAGTGACCTTGTAATCTGTAATGCTTCTTGTCTCATGAGTTCTTATTCTGTGGTTTGAACCTTCGAGAAGGTACCCACCTCAAACAATTACCTAAATTTGGAGCTACTTTTATGACTGCATAGTACCTAATAATGGCAGTTCACAAACTATGCACATCCTCTTGACATGGGTTGGTCACACAACACTGGTTTCTCACTTACTGCTGCCAGGCATCCAGGTTTGTTTGACATAACAGGTATCAAGTCTATTGAACCCTGTTGCAGGCTGCTGTTACCCAAATGAAATAGGAGAAGAAAAATCAGGGAGTTGACTTCCAGGATTCAGCTACCAGAAAGTAAGACAGAGGAAAGCAGGATAAAAGTGTTCCAAAGAGGAAAGGAAGAGATTGAGCTGGAGAGAAACCAGTACTGCTAGTAAAAGAACTAATTAGAAGGAGGAGACAATAATTTAAACTTCCTTGAGAGAATGGAAGATTGATTATGTATTTCTAGATCTGTATAATGCATTCTCCTGATCTTTCATACCAGCAGTACATGTAGTTGCTTCAAGGACATTACACAATTACTAATTGCTGGGAACATAATCCACAAAAGAAACTTTTTCATTGTATATCAGTTCTTAAAGAGTAAACTCTAGAGTGAAGGGACACATGCATTATAATAATCAAAAGTAACGAACAGATTCAAATATATGGATCTTTGTCTAGCAGCTGAAAGTTCTTTGTAATATCACAGTACAACTGCATACATTTAGTAATCCTCCCATATATACTTTCTGATTACTTCATTTGAATACATAGTCTGATGCTGTCTCCAACTTCCTCTTCAGACAGTTAACACTTTTGGACAATTATCTAACCTGTTTCTCAGCCCAGTGGGCCAAAAACTTGGTTTCTGGGTTACCAGGGAAGAGTGTTTGTGCTGAGTAAGGGGCTGGGGGATGAAGGATGGCTTTTTCCATTAGTTCCCGTTATAGTTTTCCTGACTTTATTCTTATCTTTGTTAAAAAGTAGCATAGTATGCTTTATTCCAGATAGATCTGTCATTGGCATTTCAAATGAGATGAGTGGGAGTAGAAAACAGTAAAGTCTCTTCTAGTAGCTAACAATGTGCCAGCATTAGGCCGTCTCTTCTAGTGGCTCCATTCATATCCTCACATGACAAAGCTCATTAAATGTTTCACTATTCATTTGTGTGGAGGTTGTTATTCTTATGTATAAAAGTTACCTATTATTAAATCCTTCTTACATGACACTGAATTGCTACCACTAGCTGTTTCCTTGGATTGCATGCTATGTCTGGTGGTGGTTGTGAAATAGACCAGTTTATAGATCTGTAGCAAACTGTTTCCAGGGGTCTAGCTAGATGAACAATTAAGAAAAAAAAAAAAAAAGTAAATTTTGTTTGTAGTCTCAGTCCTGAACAGAACTTTACAGAAAGAGGCAGCTGGGGCATTGCTACAAAGACCTGAGTGTAAAAAATAAATAAATAAATTTAAAAAACGATGTGATGGAGAGGAAGGATGGCAACATGAAAGGTGAAGTTTGTACAGGATAAGCTTATGAAGTCATTTGTGGTATAACGTATGTGCAGGGTTAGTTCCTATTTAAAAAAAAAAAAATCTTTAAAAAAAACAAACCAAAACAAAAACTTATTAAAAAATAAACAAAAAACTTAACAGTTGT